AAAGGAATAGGAATCAAAGGACATAGAAAAGAGTGTTTTATACTGTAAGCCAAAGAAAGAAAGTATTTTAAGAGATGGGAATAGCCAAATGCTGTAGAAAGATTAAGATATGGACTGTAAATATCCATTTGACATAGCAACAAAGATCGCTAGTGAATTTCAGCATGGCCAAAAGCCATATTGCATTAGCCAGAAAATTTCATAACAGAAAAGTATTACAGAAACAACTCTTTCAAAAAGCTTGGCTGGGAATGGGAATGAAATTTGAAAAGCAATTATCTATATAAGTAAATCACCTTAAAGAATAATCCTAAAACTGGCGGTATTGTCTGGTTATTCACAGAACCATTTCTCTTTTTCTTACAGATATACAGGTAAACTATATATCCTAGCCCAACCTGCAGATAAGTGTGGCCATAACTGAGTTTTGGCCAATGGACTGAGGACAGAAGTAATGTATGACATCTCCAAGTCTAGCCCATAAAACACTCCTACAAAAGTTTCCCTCTCCCCTTTCCCATCTACTGGCTGAATGGAAAGGACTCTAAGAATTAGAGGAAGCACAGCCACAAGATGAAATAAGCAGAGTCCATGCATGACTGCACAGAACAACTATCACCTTGCTTACCCCACCCAGACCTCCAAGCCAACCCAAAGTGAACTGTAAAGTGAGTGTGAGATACTAATAAAGATGGCCAGTATAAACAGGTGGGTGGCTTGGTAATCAATCAGACATGGTCACCAGACTTCAGTTTCTGGAGAACACATTATATTAACAGAATGGTTATATCTACAACATTAACATGGAATTTTAATTGAGTATTAATATTATATAAAATTTTAAAAATATGCTGACAGTAAAAGGAAACTATATTAATTGGAGAAGGAACACCCAATGAATAAGAATTTGTCTATGTGTCTTTATTTGGTAGCTGAGCAGCAGCTAGCCTTTTGGTAGGCATGTACCTACTACCCTGGTAAAGGAAAATGATATTTTAGGTCATCTTATCCTTGTGACTCTTACCATTACAATTACCCATCACTCTAACTCCCGTTGTTCTGATGCAAATTCTACTTGGAATCCTGGATTTTATTACAGAAGCAGAATAAGTTGGCCAGTAGACTTGGAGTATCTGATATTTCTCATCATATTTGAAATCAATGTCTTATGAGCATGATTAGTGTAATTCAGTTGCATTAAGTCTAATCTACCCTGAGATTATGAAAGAAAAATCAGCATTAACCTGGAAACTAAGTAACAGACCATTGTGGTGTTACTATTATATGTAATATGAACCTATAAGGTCCAACCTGAGTGGTTAGCTGTTCTCAACAGATGATTTTCTTAGTTGTTGTATTATAGCCGATAATACCTTCAGCCAGCGCTTAATATGTTATTTTGTTGTTTGTAACGTTTAAGGTAGAAATATCAATCTATAAATTTGAAAAAATTTGACTAAAAATTGATTAAACCATATGTAAGTACTTTGGAAATAATTTCTTTTAACAATTTTTACTTACCTAATGGGAAATCTTGGAACCCAAGAAAATTAAGTGATTGGTTTAGGATTATACAGCAAAATAGAATCAAAAGCCCCTTATTAACTCAATGAAGTAGGGTCAAAAGAAAAAAAAAAGGACTCTAAGAGTATTTTCTAAGAATTCTAACAGAACTTGTAGAAAAAGCCAAACTGATTATTTCTTTTTTTTTTTGATTATTTCTTGAAACAACTGAAACTAGGTGTCATCAAATAGAATGCAACAATATACAGTTATAAGATAAAAATACAGTGTGAGCAATTAATAAAAATGGGTAAATCACGTTTTCAGTACAAAGCAGAAATATAAGAATAAAATTTAAGGTTTACGATACCAAAAGTAAAAATCAAACTTAAAAATCCTTCAAATAGGCCAGGTGCAATGGTTCTTGCCTGCAATCCTAGCATTCTGGGAGGCTAAGGCAGGAGGATCGCTTGAGATCAGGAGTTTGAGACCAGCCTGAGCAAGAGTGAGACCTTGTCTCTGTAAAAAACGTAAAAATTAGTTGGACATGGTGGCTTGTGCCTGTAGTCCCAGCTACTCGGGAGGCTGAGGCAGGAGGACTGCTTGAGCCCAAGAGTTTGAGGTTGCAGCAAGCTATGATGATGCCACTGCACCCTAGCTGGGGTGACAGAGTAAGACTCTGTCTCCACACACACACAAAAAAAATCCTTCAAACAGAGGACATTCCTAGGAAAATAAAGCCATTTGTCTTACTATCCCAAACACATAACTTTTGAATTGTTTAACATTGTCATTTATCATCCATATCTATTACAAAGAATGAAACCAAGTTTCAAAATGCCCTTAATGTCCAAAAAATAATTAGCGTTTTTCTTATATAACAGGTACACAATTCTTATTTATACTCTAGAAATTTCCCAAATTTTGAAAACAGAATTTTTTCATAATTCATTTGGTGGCATAAAGTGACCAACTTGAATTA